TCTCCTTGGTGATGTTGCAGTGCAGGGAGCCCACGTAGAGCCGCATGGGCCCCCCGCTGCCCTTCTGCAGGGCGCTGGCCATGGCCGCCAGCCGGTTCTTCTCCGCCTGCGGGCAAGGGGCGGGTGAGCCGGGGTCCGACGCCCCGCCCCCCCAACCGTCCCCCTCCCCTGCGGCAGGCCCCCTTCCCCAGACACCCCCTGGCTGGCCCCTCCCTCCTCCCCGGCCAGTTCCCGCCCCCAGACACCCCCCAGCCGGCCCCCTCCCCCGCGCAGCTCCCGACCCAAACGCCGCCGGCCAGCCCCCTCCCACTCCCAATGCTGCCCACCGGCCCCCTCCCCTGCCGTTCCCTGCCCCCCAGCCAGCCCCCTGTTCCCCAGCCATCCTCCCATCGTCCACCCCCGCTCCACAGCCAGCCCCTGGTTGTCCTCCCACCCCCCAGGACACCGCCTAGTCCCCTGACACCCATGCCCCCCAGCCAGCCCGATCGTCCCCCCGCCCCACAGCAACCCCCCCGGACACTGCCAGCCAGCCCCCGGTCACCCCACGGCCGGCGCACCTGGGAGGCCTGGACGATGATGGGCACGCCCAGCAGGCGCTGCCCCGTCAGCCCGATGGCCAGCGGCACCGACTGGATCTCACAGAACTCCACGTAGGCAATGCCCTTGGAGCGCCGCGAGTTCCGGTCCGAGATGATCCGCACGTCCCGCACCTGGGGGGGAGACGGCCGTAGGGTAGGGCCCAGCACAGGACGGGGTTAGAGATGGCAGGGGGCGGGGCCCCGGATTCCAGATGGCAGGAAGAGTGGGGCCAGGCACAGGGGGGATGTGCCATGGGGCGTGGGAGGGGCGGGGCCCAGCATGGGAGCCGGGTTAGAGATGGCACTATGCACAGTGGGCGGGGCTTCAGAAACGAACAGGGGGGCAGAGGCAGGTTACTCTGGCAAGACAGACCTCAGGTCGCTAATGTTGGTTGGACGTATTCCCGGAGGTTTCATCACTGACAACGCTAATTAACGACTACTATTTAATTCCTCAAGACTCAAGGCCAACCCTGGAGAATTGGCAACCCTCGACCTCCAGGGGCAGGGGCGGGGCTCAGGCAGTGGGCGGGGCCTGGGGCGGTACCTTGCCGACGGCGGAGAAGAAGTCCTCGAGGTCACGGGGGCGGATGCGGGCGGCCAGCTGCATGCAGAACACGGTGCGAGCGTCCCGCTCCTCGGGGCTTAGGCTGCCCAGCGCCTCCCTGCGGGACGAGGTGTCAGGGGGGGCTGGGCCGGGCCCCCCAACTCTTCCCCCCGTTGCACTCACCCAGACCCCCCCACCCAGATCCATCAGCTCCGCCCCCCGCCCCAGACTATCAGACCCCAGGACAGACCCCCACCAACACCACTCCCCCAGCCCCCAGCTCCCGGCACGGGCGTCACTCACCGCACAGGGCTTTTCTCCCGGTACAGGGGGCTCTTACTGTGTCCAAACCGGCGCCTGGGGGGCAGACACCAGGTCAGAGCCTGGGGCAGGGGCCGGGTTCCCCATAGGGCTGCAATGGGAAGGGGAGGGAAGGGGTTGGGGTCCCTTGGGGTACGGGAGAGCAGGGGTTGTTGGGAGGGCGGGGCCTGTCCGGGGATAGGCCTGGCCAGGGCATTCCTTACCTGGGGGCGGAGTCTCACTCTCCCAGGGGTGGGGCTTAGCCAGGGGACGGAGGTTGGCCGGGGAGGTCCTCACTCACCTGGGGGCAGAGCCTCATTCTCCCAAAGCAGGGGCTTGGCTAGGAGCAGGGTGCCACTCACCCAGGGGGCAGGGCCTGGCCAGGGGCGGGGTCTCACTCACCCAGGGGGCGGGGCCTGCCCAGGGGCAGGGGTCTCACTCACCCAGGGGGCGGAGGACTGCGGTACCGCGCTCTCTCCTCACGCCGGCGCTCCCGGCTCCGGGAACGGCTCCCCCGCCGGCGCTCCCGGCTCCGGCTCCTGTGGCGGCTCCGGCGCTCCCGGCTCCGGCTGCTGCGCCGCCGCCGCTCCTGATCCCGGCTAGAGAGAGAGAGAGAGCATGAGCGCGTCAGAGACCCTGCTGGCCAATCAGATCCCGTCCCCCACCAATCACACCCTCTCTCGGCCTCCCCCAGCCAATCATAGCCACCCTCACCCAATCACACCCCACTCCCCCACCGTGTGCCGTTCCAGCCAATCACAACATCCCTGGGCAACCCCTAGCTGATCACAGCTCCCCTCACACACCCTGCGCCCCCCCCCCAATCACAGCTCCCCTCACATATTCCCACAGCCTCCCCGTACCCCCAGGCACCAAGCCCCTCGCCCCTACCTGTGTCTGTGCTCCCGGCTCCGACTCCTCTTTTTCCTGCTGCTACTGGAGGGAGGAGGTGAAAAGACACCGTTACCATGGGGCAGCCCCCCGCTCCCCCCCACTGGCAGGGGAGACACTGTTACCGGGGGGCAGCCCCCCGCCCCCCCCCGCCCCGGCAGGGGAGACAGTGTTACCGGGGGGCAGCCCCCCGCCCCCGCACTCCGGGGGGGCCACTGTTACCAGGGGGCAGCCCCCCACTCCCGCACTCCCGGGGGAGCCACTGTTACCGGGGGGCAGTTCTCCACCCCCCACTGCAGGGGGGAGACACCATTAGCAGGGGGCAGCCGCCCGCCCCTCCCAATGTCAGGGGGAGACACCGTTACCGTGAGACAGCCGCCCGTCCCTCCCACTGCCGGGAGAAGACACCGTTACCGTGGGACAGCCGCCCGTCCCTCCCACTGCCGGGAGAAGACACCGTTACCGTGGGACAGCCGCCCGTCCCTCCCACTGCCGGGAGGAGACACCGTTACCATGGGGCAGCCGCCCGCCCCTCCCACTGCCAGGGGGAGGCACCGTTACCGTTGGGCAGCCACCCGCCCCTCCCACTGCCGGGGGGAGACACCGTTACCGTGGGGCACTCCCCACCCCTCTCACCTGCCGCTAGCACTCTCCTTCTTCACCTCCTTGCTCTGCTCCTCTGGGGGCTGCGGGGGGAGCATGGAGAGGTGAGTATGGGACGTGCCCCCCCCCATTCCCTCCCAGGACCCCTATACGTTACCTGGGCCGCGGGGGCTTCAGCCGGCGCCTTCGAGGGTCCTGCCTGGGCCTGGAGGGAACAAAGCCACGCCTCAGCAGGGGAGGGGGCAGCCCCCATCGGCCGCCCTGCTCCCCACCTGCCACCAACGGCCCCCCTCCAGCCTCCGCCACTCCAGAGATGCTGGGGAAACTGAGGCACACACCACCACCCCCCGCAAGGGCCCTTATCCCTCACCTCCTCCTTCTTGTAGGGCGCCTCCAGCATGGCTTCGATGACAATGTCGAAGTCATCGGGCGTCATGGCGTCGGCCGGGCTCTGCAGGAAAGGGGGGGGGGCGGGTGTTAGCCCCAGGCTGGCCCCTTGGGGCCCCACCCAGGGCGCCACAGGCAAGGGGAGTGGGGTACTCACAGGCTCCTGCAGCGGATTCGAGACCCCCGGCTCCATGGAGCGTGCCGGGGGGGCCCCACCCCCGAAGGGCAGGACAGGCTCCGGGCTCGAGTGGCTCTCAGACGCGTCCTGTGGAAAAACGGGGCGCAGTGAGCCAGGGAACCGTGTGGGGGGCCATGACCGGCCTGCAAGCTGCTAGCTGCACTCCCAATTGTTCTAGCCTGCACGCTCCAGACCCGTCCCCCCCAATGTCAGGCCGAGGCTCCAGATGTTCCTGACCCACGTCCCAGACGTTGCTGCCGCACTGCTAGTCTGGAGCACTTTGCAAGGTGCCCCCAAGCACCATGTATTGAGCCTGGCTCCAGAAAAGCCCCTGTCCCAGAGCAGGCTGTCAGTCCCAGGCCGGGGGCTCCTTCCTGGCACCCACCGTGCTCTAGCCAAACATTCCCAAGGGTAGGGACTACCTTGGGAGACGTGGCCAGGCCTGTTCTAGAGCACCTCGCCTCCAGCATCCCCCCCCCCATGCTACCCTGGGCCAGGGTCCCAGGCCTGCCTGGAACAATTCTGCTCTAGATCCCAGGGAGCCAGGCCTACTCTAGACCCTTCCCAATTCCAGACCAGTTGTAGAAACCCAGGACCCGGGATGCTGACGTGCGCCGGGCGCCTCCTGCATCTGGCCAAGGGTCTAGCAAGGCCCCAAGTCCCAGTCCCCTTTGAGGGACCTCAGCTCTAGAATTCCTCCGTTCTAGAACCCCTCGTCTAGGCCCCGCCTCCACATTCTAGGCCTCGATGCCACCCCACCCCCAATGTTCTATGCCTGCGGCAAGCCCCGCCCCCAGCGTTCTAAGCCCCCTTGCAAGCCCCGCCCAGCACCGTCCCAGCGTTCTAAGCCTCCCACGAACCCCTCCCCCACCACTCACCAGCGTTCTAGAACCCCGCGCTCGCGCTCACCCACCCCACGGGCCACTGACGTCATCTCCCTCCTCTCCCCCGTGAGGTGCCCCCCGATACCGTGACGTCACCCTGCCCCGCTCTCACCCTCCCCCGAGGCGGCGCCGGCTCCTCGGGCTCCGGGTTTCCGCGGCCGGACGCGGCGCTAAGATGGCGGAGGCCGCGGCTGCCTCCAGAACCTTCCCCTCCCCCCGAAACTCCGTGCGCAGGCGCGGGCGGGGCGGCAGCACGACGCTCATTGGGTGAGGGCGGCGCCGCTGATTGGACGCGGTCGGCCTAGAGGACGCGGCTTGGCACAGCGCCGTGGCTGATTGGACAATTTCCCAGAAGGATGGCTCTGATTGGCGGAGAGTGTGTAGGGGCGGGATATTTTTCCTCACCTTCAGCGATGATTGGCCCAGATCGAGAAGAGGGCGGGCCTTTGCTCGCAGCAGCCTCGGCGTTTGGCCCGAAGCGGGAGGGGCGCGCCACTGTCCCCACGGCCGAAGGGTGATTGGCTGGCGAAGGCGGGACTTTGCCCACAGCGACAAGCCTGATTGGTTAAATATGAAGAAGAGGCTGAGTCCTGGCTCACCACAGCAACGGTGATTGGCCCAGAACAAAGAGGGGCTGACTTGCAGGCTCAGCAACCTATCAGCGCTCGCACGGCTGCGCTCAGGGAGCCTGTTGCCATGACAACGCGAGGGCGCCCCCACCCCGTCAGACACACGCACACACGGGCCGGGACAGAAAGCTTTATTGAAACGCACGGACAGGGACAAAGGGGAGCGGGAGCGCCGCGTGGGGCGGGGTACCCCGGTGACGTTGCGCACGCCCAGAGGCCGAGACGGAAGAGCGGGGGCGGGGTCTCCGTGACGTGGCGATCGCTCATAGGCCGATGGTGGAGGAGCGGCCGCTCGGGTTGTGCAGGGCAGAGCAGCCGGGCGCCGTCACCGCCCACTCGTACCACACCTTGCGCGGGCCCGCGCAGCGCCAGAAGGCCACGCGCACGCGCTCGCCCGCGCGCACCGCCAGCGGCTGCTGTGGGAAGAGAGGGAGCGTCAGCGCCGCGGGCACCCGCCCCTCCCGGACCCGCCCCCTTTCCAAGCCCCGCCCCTCCGGGATCCGCCCCCTTTCCAAGCCCCGCCTTCAGGCTCCCCCCGCCCCCGGGCACCCCCCATGGGGCGGGCGCTCA